TAATCGTGACACCCAAAGGTGGGCATCTAGGGTGGGTTGCAGGCCCCAGCGCTCCCCTTGGAAATCCGTGGACTGATCCTTTCGTAATCGATTTCCTCGTGTATTTGGAAAGCCAAGAATCAAAAGCTTCTGCATCTTCTACAGATTTAACAGCTGCAGAGACGTTGGTATAGACATCCAATTGAATATAGAGATAAGCTATCCACCGTAGTTGATTGTTAGATGATTAAACATATCTCATGTATTGATCATTTAGAAGTGTTTATTGCAGGTTTAATAATAGTTTATATACCAAGCAATGTCGTTATGAAGCAAAAGAGTTAGAAATTCAAGTACTTTCGGAGTATCTGAACAAAAAATCTGAGCATCAACTCCATTTCATTTTCGGAGTATCTGAACATAATTTAATAGATAACGATAATACTTTAACAGTAGTAGAAACACGCCCAAACTACGAAAATTAGTAATATACGAGAAAGACCTACACATCAGACTATGTTACCGGGTCAACACAAACACAATTCAAATCGTCATTAGAAGCGATAGGCGTGGAGCTGACGAATGTTGATGGGAGCGCTAATTGTTTCATCTCCATCAAGAAGCTCTTTAGCAATGATGATATTAGCAGCTTCTGTTGGATGATAAGCATCCCAAAACACATATTTTGATCGATCATCACACAAAAAAGAACTTGATGATCTGTTTTGGTCTTGGCTTTGGCCCTTGTTGTAGCAAATGAAGGGAGGAAAGTATGCACCACAGCATGGCTGCTTTGCGTTCACAAACCCTATCAGGTTTTCAAAACAAATATTTCACGAACAGTTTATCGTGCACTTCAATCTTAAAATTCGTACTGAAAGGTCAATCCGAACATTTTATGAGAATTTTGTAATAGCCCAAGCCCACATTAATAGATATTGTGATCTTTGGGCATAAACGTGCAATTTTCAACTCAAAATAAAAACCCGAGTAAAAGACGGAGATTGAAAGCTAACCATATTGTTGATAATTGACAATAATCTTCATGAAGACAGCATAGGAATTGGCATAGACAAACATGGTTTTGGGACCAAACTCTTGATTCAATTCACCCACCAATCCACTTAGCCTAACATTGTAGGCTTCAATCACTTCATTCACTTCTTCAGAGCATTTCTCACCTCTTACAAACTGCACTGCTCTTACAAATGGAATGCATCCAAGGGGTCCAACTCCAACCACCACGAACTTCCGCGCTCCCAAGTCGTGCAGTTCCTTCATCATTCATAAATCCCGAGTCAAATATAGAACAACACGAACCAAAATCGTATTAAAATATGACCCATTTGGTTGATTTGCTACCAACTCGATCGATAAAGAATCTTGAACTGTTCTTATTTTATCATACCTTAAGGTGTATCGTTAAATTGGAGATCATATGATCCAAGTAATCGCTCGGGGCGACCTTGTTTGATTGGAAAAATGGAATGGAGGGTTGGAAATAGTTGATGATATCATTGGATCCAAATGTTAGAGAGAAAATTGCTTCCTTCAAAAGCTTCATTGTTTCATTCTCTCCCTTTACTTTCACTATGTAATCTCTGCTCTCCTCAAAATGCTTCACTTGCTCCCTTAGTGGAATCCTCCCCAACTGTTCATACAAATACGCTAACATTAGCCTAAATTTACGTCGGGTATTCAAAAGATTCAGTGACTCAAAAATTCCGAACAACCCAACCCAGCTCGTACAAGCTGAATTGGGTTGAGTTGAAATAAATGAAAGTTGTATGGGTTGAGTTGGCTATGACCGGACCAACCCACTTCAAATATTTTGACCTGGTCTGAACAATTGAATTAAATCTAAAAATGACCCAATTAATTCATTACTTACAAATAAGAACCCAGTTTCATCCAAGATGCCAGCAGCTCCAGAAGCATAGTTTATTCCTGTATATATTGTGTCTGCTTCTGTATTTGGAGCTAGAAATGGCGGCGGAAATGATTCCGCTCCGAGATATTCTCCTGATTCAAACACGAGTATAGTTCAACGGTAATTGAAATTTGGTAACGCTTTAACATAAATAATGTTCGAGTTGGATGCATTACCGATAATATCTGAAATAGTTCGACCGTTAGTGAATCTTCCCGTGGGTCGGCCACCGGAGGGCTTGAAATCGATACCATACGGCGGCGAATCAGCTTTGGAAAGGGTGAAAATATAATCGTTGTTCCCAGCATCAACGAGCGAGTCTCCAAACACGAATGTCGTGAAACAAAGCCCGGGAAAGAAGTTGATCGAGAAAACGACGAACATCATGATATATGAATATTTAGAAAACTTCATTTTTCTCGAACTCAAACACTCTCCGACACTTGTGGGCTTGAGCTCGAGGTTGTGCAAAGGGTTAAATAGTAATGTGAGCTCAAGAAGTTGACGGTTTCATGCAAAGAGAAGCATAGTATGTGCATGTTCTGCTACTGCAACTGTGGTTTGACGTGGTTTTTTTTAAAATTTATTATTATTTATTATTTAGTATTTAATTTTAGTGAGAAACAATTTTTTAGTATAATATTTTAAAAATTGAAGGACTAATATATAAGTAAGTAAATAAAAGTTAGAAAATAAAAAAATTAAATGAAACCCTTTCTTTTTCAGTAATAAGAACCCGGGCTGATAATTTTATATTATTAAATATATGAGATGAAATATCAAATTATATTTAAAATTAGAGTGTAAACATTTTTTTGAATGTAAATATCTCGAAAGAGTTATATTATAATAATTTTTAATTTCTCACGAGGTTGAGGGAAACTAAATATTCATTATAAATGTGTGAGATTCGAAATTTTCTACTTAATTTAAGTTCGCTATTATTGTATATGTACCATAAAAATTGAAGGCGGAAAACTTCATTTAAATTTCATAAAACATAACTTTTATTTTAAAACATATATATGGACTTACGTCATCGCAATTCGAGACCATGACACATGCATAGGAGAGCGATATTTATTTTTTTAGACATAGGCTAGAATAAGATATTTTTAACTTAAACTCTTATTTATTTTTTTCGTGTCTTTTGTTGTGTCGTTTTAAAGATGTTTTCGAAACACGTTTTCGAAACACGTTTTAAGATAGAGGTTATGTTTTATGAAATTTAAATAAAGTTTCTCCCTTCAATATTTATGTTTATGGTACATGTAAACCGTAATAACCTTAAATTAAGTAGAAAATTTAGGTAGTTACATACAAATTTTAAAACCAAATATTATAATTTTTAATATAAAGTTAAATTGATTAAAATAGAAATTATAGAAGTGGATTGAAATGGGTTTTTTAAAAAAAATAAAAAATAAAAATAGAGACAAAAATAGGAAAGATTTAAATAAAAAATGGAATTAAGCGAAAAAGAAAATGATATTAATTAAGAAAAAGAGAAGGAAAAAGACATAAATAGGAAAGAGAGAGAAATTTACCAAATTAAACGGAGAAGAAATAATGACCAAACAAAAGTGAAAAATTATGGAGAAATTGAGATACAAACACGCCTCTCCGCTCCTCTCATTCCCTCTCGTTCCGCTGCTCTGATCTGAGGGCAGCACCTTCCCTGCAATACAAAATCCCTAAAACCGATTCTTCCATCGCCGCCGTCGCCTCCTCCTCCTCCTCCTCCTCCTCCAAATGTCGCCGCCTTCAGCTCTTCCTCCTCTCTTTCTCTGCATCATTCTCCTCTTCATCCCGATCGTCTCGCCGGAGACCAAAATATCCCATTCCAGTGGAAGAAATAGATCGACCGCGACGGAAAATCCCTCGCCGGAGAACCAACAGTCCCCTTCCGATGGCGCGACGGCGAATCCGATGCTGCGTAAACACTCTAAGCCTTTATACGCTCGCGAATTTCTGACAGCGCACAACAAAGTGAGGATGAACGTGACGCATCCTGCGTTAAGTTGGGACAGAGGATTGGCTCGATACGCGCGTCGGTGGGGAACGAAGCGTACTGTTGATTGCAAAATGGTTCACTCGTATGGTCCGTACGGAGAGAATTTGTTTTGGGGAGCGCTTGACCACTGGACGCCGACCGACGCGGTGGAATCGTGGTCGAAAGAGAGAAGACATTACGACGCTCAAACAAATTCCTGCGTCGAGGGTGAAATGTGCGGCCATTACACGCAGGTCATTTGGAGAGATACTACCAAACTTGGATGCACTCGCGTCAGGTGCCAAAGTGGTGGCGTTTTGATCATCTGTGAGTACGATCCCCCAGGAAATTATGTTAATGAGACCCCCTTCGATACCGTAAATGCCTCTGCCACACCCCCAGCCGCTACACCCACACCCACACCGAGACCCGGTAAACCCACAGCCGCAGCCGCAGCCGCAGCCGGTACAGCCGGTACAGTCACAGCCACCACCAATGGCGGAGGCGGAACCGTCGCCGTTGATTTGAATTCGAAAGTACCTGAACCGTCACCGCCGTCTAACGAACAAAGCATCTCGCCTCACCGGAAAATCATCGGTTGATCTTCGATCTTCGATCTTCGAAACGATTAGAGATTGGTATGGGAAGGCCGAACTCCTGAGAATCGGATAGGAAAGGTATTTAGGTTTTCTTCAATCGATTTTGCTTTTTCATTCTTTTTTCCTGAGAGCGTCTAGTACAATTTTTTTTTTTTTTGTAACGTTCATTACTCAACGCCTCAAAAAATAAGGCATAATTCTGTAACTAAAATTGTTCTTCACTAAAATATTATTAAATATCATGTCATTATTTTTTTAATATTTTGTTCTATATGATTTCAAAATTTGAAAATAGGAAGTAAAAAAATGGATTGTAAATTAATTTCGAAGAGTTATTTAGTAATAAAAATTTGCTACAATATATTTTCTAAAAAATTATCAATTTCTTATTGTATGGATATTTGATAATTGTTGAAGACATAAAAGATTATTTATTTATTTATTTATTGATATATTTTTATGAATTTATTTGAAGGGAGAATTTTGTTAAATAATTAAAATTGATTTAAAAAAAAAACTAAAAAAATTTGTTCCAACTTGGAACGGTGAACAACATCCACCGCCCCGACACCTCAGTGAACGCGCCATAAACTCCGATTTTCTCTCCTTTTCTCTGCGAAAAAATGACGAACCTCAATCTGCTCCGTAAGGCGCTTGGATCGCACTTCATTTCTCATTCAGCAACGCCAAATCATGGCCTTCCTGTGTTTTTCCGCCAATCTTCAAGATTCTTCTCGATGGAAGGGGAACAATCACCTCCTGAATCGTCCGCCAATTCTTTTCTTGATACATTGGAAACAGCAGGTATGAAGCTCGTTCCTACGTCTTCGTCGAGTCTGGACGATGTTCTCGTGTCGTGTGTTATGTTGGGAGAGGTTTAGGGTTTATAGATTGTGGCTGGTTTGAATTTTGGGAACAATTTTCTTTCTCGTTTATTTGAGCTTCTGGTAAATAAGTTTGGCTGATTGTACTAATCGATTCAGGTTTTTTTGATTCTGTAAGTTTTGAGTAATTTGGAATGCATTAATCGCTACGAAAGCCTTTTGGTGTCCTTACTGCTATACTGTTATCATTTAGGTAGCTGATTTTTTGTCTGATTCTACGTAGTGCAATGCCTAATGAGTTTTTTGTTACACTCTTATCAGGTTTGGTGTATGGAAAATTGTATGGTATCACAAGGAATGTTCTCAAGACAGACATTGTCAATTTGCTTGAAGGATGTAATTTGAGTTTGGATGATGTCAAAGTTGAATACAACCGGAGTTTCACGCCAACCTCTATGTAATGTTCTTCTTTTGCATATTTTGAATATAGATGCTTTCTGTAGCTTTCTGTATTAGGTTTTACCATCGTAGTTATGGTTCTATTCCTACTGCATCTTGGAAACTAAAATAATCAAAGAATATCTAATTGCCCTTTTGATCCTTAAAGCATTAATACAAATGCAGTCCTTAGGCCTGGATTATTAGCTACATGTTAATCTATGGAATATGCGTTCAATTAAGCGCGTTGTACCTTTTCTGTAAAAGGGTTATATTTCTAAGGAGAAACCCAATTGTGTAATGTTTATGGATGTTGAGTAACACTGGTGTTCGAGGTTGGTTTTCATTAAATATTTATGGATGTTGTAATCAGGATGATGCAATTCCCCTCCCGGAAGTCCTATGATAATGCTTTTCGAGTGATTGGAAGAAGAGGTCGCATATACAGATTGGAGCGGGTGATGTTCTGATGGATATCTAATAAAAAATGGATTTATTTTTTGTCTTGTTTTAAAATTTAGAAACATATTAACTTCTATTCTAAATTTCAGGCTGATCGTTCGCAGTGGGACCTTCTTTCACCTTACAATGGAAAAACTGTAATGCCATTTTTTAAAAATTATGAACTTATTGTCCATTGAGAAATCTCTTTACCATTCATATTCTTGTTTTTGTTATTGGCATCTTTGATCAGAAAGCAATCCATTCTACTTTATCTTTGTTTATCTAATATCATATGCTCGAATGGCATGGTTTCGAGGATCAAGCATACATATCAATATGTTCTCTGCTATTCTACTGCATGATGGTTAATTTCAATGGATTGTTCCTTACATCTCCAAAACTGATTATAGAGAAACTACTTTTTCATGTTAAACTGTTTAGAAGGGAGTAAGAAAAATGTTAGCCAAGGTCCTCGGTCTGGATCCCCCTTTAGTAGCTTCTCGAGGATATAAAACTGTTGTAACGACTTCAACTTAGAAGATTAAGGGTTTTTTTTTTCGTAAGATCGTTTATAATGAAAAAATAACATGATGATGTGATTAGATTTTCAATTGAAACTTGATATTTCAAGATTAAGAATTGGCTACCTTTCTGGTCGCAAGTTTGTTGTTCGTAAAATCATGTGCAACTTATTGTGCAGACTGCAGTTAATGGGTGTCTCATATTAAATTTAAGCCTCTCAACTCTGGATTGGTTCGGACTTTTTTCCTGTGGGATTAAATTTTCTTTGTACATACAGGTTCTTCTGCAAGGAATACCTCGAAATGCAGCGCTAGATGACGTGGAGCGCTTCTTATCTGGCTGTGACTATGATGCAACCTTAATCAATATGTTTTTCAGGTAGAGATCAATTATTTGTACCAAAGTTTCATACATCAATGAAAAAAAGTAATAATAGTTTAAAAAAAAGAAAAGTTCAGAATTAGTATTGTAGTACTTGTAGGAATTCTGTGTGATGCATCATTTATACATCATTGCAGGGCATCCATTCCAGAGCCCATCAGAATGGCGACAGTGCTGTTCCCTTCACCAACACAAGCAATGCATGCATTTCTTACTAAGAACAGAGGCTTTTGTCTGAACAACCAAATTTTGATGCGGGTTCTCCAATAACTAGTTACTGTTGTCATCTATATTCTACACATTTTTGGTTGGCTCGGTGTCTGGGCGTTCTGAAGTAGTCGTATGAGTTACGACTTGCATCTTCATATCTCAAGCCTCAAGTTATCTGAGTCACATGCATCATTCAAAGTGACCTGAATTCATTTGTAAGGAAGGATATCTGGATTACATAAAAATAAGGTTGTCGAATTATCGTGAAACTAGGCAGTTTTTGTTGTGTGACTGCTAGCCAACCCTTTTCACTATGGCCTTCATAGATTGCCGAACTTTTAATTATGTATCTAACAAATTAAATCTTTAAACATTAATTAATTTTCATGTCTAACAAGTTTGAAGGTATAAGACTTTGCTAGTAAAGCATCTTCTAGTTCGTCGTCCACTTCAGGAACACAGTCTACAGATCTCATGTGATTCACCATGCCATCCATAACACCAAAAATCTCAATCATTACAGGGTTTGACTTATCTTCTGCTTTAAATCTGTAAACCTTATTCTGAATCTCAATCCAACTATATCCAGGAGCAGTCTTCAGCCCTTTGTCTTTCATCATCTTCCTCAATCTTGCAGCGTCTTCCAAGTACCCTGCTCTTGCATACAGATTAGCCAACTGCAAGTGCGTCGAAGCACAATCGGGTTGCAGTAACAATCTACTCTCTGCTGCCTTCAGTCCTATCCAGACATTCCCATGAAGCCTGCAAGCAGAGAGAAGCGATCCCCAAACAATTGAATTGGGAGATATGGGCATCTTCTCAATGAAGTTTTGAGCCTCTTTTAGTAGCCCAGCTCGGCCAAGCAGATCGATAACACACGAATAATGATCCAATTCCGGTTTCAAAGCGAGCTCGACCATAAGATTGAAGTAATATCTACCCTCTTCCACAAGCCCCCCATGTCTACATGAGGACAGGACACCAAGAAAAGTGATGCCATCGGCTTCCACTTGCTGCTGCTTCCTCATTGCTTCAAAAAGATCAATGGCTTTCAGAGAGAGCCCATGTTGGGCATAGCCAGCAATCATGGAATTCCAAGAAACAGTGTCTTTAACTTCCATGGCTTCAAACAAGTATACTGCAAAGTTAAGAGCTCCACATTTACAGTACATTGAGATCAGAGCATTTGCAATATGAACATGAGAATCAAAGCCCATTTTGAATGTTTGACAATGGAGGCTTCTTCCAACTCCAAGGGCTCCACTGCCAGTGCAAGCGCTCAATATGGTGGCAAAAGTAAACTCATTGGGTTGTAATGCCATTCTTCTCATCCGTTGGAAAAGCTCCAAGCACATATCAACTTGCCATTCTTGAGCAAACCCAGCAATGATGGCTGTCCATGACACAACATTTCTCACAGGCATTTCATCAAACACTTGACATGCGTCAGTCATCTCGCAACATTTCCCGTATAAACTTACCAGCGAACTTCCTACATACACATTGGCAATAAACCCAGTTCGTATTGCCACAGAATGATACTGAATTCCACCACGAAGATTGCGCTGAGAACAGCACAAACTCAAAGCGCTGGATATATCGTTCGCATCAAATTCAAATCTTCCTGCGAACAACTGAAAATCCCAGTGACCAGATTCACGTTCTTGATCCAGAACGCTGGAGGAATCCTTGGATAAAAAAACTGAATCAGAATCAAAACCATCGGAAAGGGTTTGAGATCGACATTGATCGGAATCTGTTTGTAAAAAGTCCTTGATGAGCCGAAGATGGGTTTGGCGACTTTCAGAGGCGGCATTTCCCTTTGGAGAAATGAGATCCAGAAGTCTAGGAGGTTTAGGTAAATTTGTGGTCGGACGGGTGTTGCGTTTGAAGTAAGAGAAAAGCCTTATGGAGGTTACTATATGGAACCCATGCCGACAAAGAAGTGCAGAAGATTGAGATATCACGAAGAGCATATGAAGAAGACGAACTGTCATTCAAAATTACCCCTGAGCTCTAATTGAGCAAAAAATGTCGCATATTAAAGGGTTTGGGAAAGTTTGAGCCCTTTTGTTTTTGTATTTACTCTGTCTCATGTTTTCTAAAACATTTCTAGCAAATGAGACTCGAGGCTCGAGCATATGCTAACATTGTCCATGAGGTCCGAATCTTCTGAGTCATACACTAATATTATCCATGAAGTCTGAATTTCTCACGACCGACTGGTTGGCTGAGTTAGAACAAATATCGCACAATCGTTTGACTTGTGTTCGAACCATAATTATGTTCAAATCTCAATTTTTATTCTAAGTCATTCCCACATCATTCCATATCCCAATTTTCATCATTTTAAAAAGTTTTTAAAAGATGTCCGGTAATATTATTACTTAGAAAAGAATAAAAGAAAAGGCGGATTTGAGAAGTTAAAGGGGGAAAAACCCCATCCTAATGACAGGTTATTTTTGCACCTCTCTGGACTCTTCCTCTCTTCAAGTTGATAATAAATTGGATGAATAAAGATTACCCATAAAGAACACTAACACTACCTGCTGAGCAAGAAAGAGTGCCAAGAACACTTGGTTCCACCCATTTACTAAGCAAAACAGGGCCAAATTTTGCTTAGCCACTCGCTAATGGGCTAAAAAGAAGCAAAAGAATTCAGGCTGCAGGCTCTGTAGGTGACACAACTATACTTTCCACGCTCTTCTTCCTCCTGCCTTCCATTTCTTTGGGATCGCCCCGTCTGTTTCGAGTCTTGTTCTTCCTGTTCTTCTGGGCCTTCCTGTTTCTCTTCAGAGTTTTCAATGCTAATGCTTTCAATGGAACTGTAATGTCCATGGGCAAAAGCACCTGTTCGAGTCCATGCCAATCGAGATCTTCGAAATCTCCGTCTTCATACTCCACTCTGTACCATCCCGTATCTTTGTCGAACTCGATTATGACGCCGTAGTAATACCGATCGCCAAACATTTTGTTTACCACTCTACCTTCTAACCACTCACCAAAACCTGTACTTCCGAGTAGTTTTTCATTATTCAGAGAATCACAAAGAGGAAGGGCAGTATCACAAGCAACTATATCAGGCACCCCGTTAATTACTATAGCAGGCTCTCCTGGTAGTTTGTAAACATTGGAAAATGAAGGTTCAGAATCATGTTCTTTTCTGGGTATCTCCATTTAAACAACCTTAACCTTGAGCTTGCAGCAAACACACAGTCCTATGAAGAAGCCAAAACAGTTTCAGGTTACTTAAAAGCGTATATAACCAAAATTGATGTACTGTTGATTGGATCAGAGTGTCAGAACACCAGCTAAAAGTGAAAAGTGAATTCAGCAACATACATGGGGCAGAAAACAAGAACAGAATGAAAAACCATCACTCCTGAGAAATGTTTTTGTTCATTTGTTTATTTAAGACCATATCTCTGATTGTACTATATTCAATAATAAACATGTGAATTGTAATTTTGTTTTCATGGATTAGCACTTCAATCAGTAAACATTCTACGTCAATGTGAGGGATTCAATGTGAGATCTCTCAATAATTGGAGATGGAAACGAAACATTCTTTATAAAAGTGTGGAAATCTCTTCTTAGCTGTTGGGCTTTAAAACCGTGAGGCTGACGACGATACGTAACGGGTCAAAGTGGACAATATCTGCTAGCAGTGGGTCTTGGCTGTTACAAATGGTATCAGAGCCAGTCACTGGGCATTGTGTTAGCGAGGATGTTGGCCCCCAAGGGCTAGATTGTGAGATCCCATATCGATTGGTGAGGGGAACGAAACATTCCTTATAAGGGTGTGGAAACCTCTCCCTAGTAGATGATTTTTAAAATTGTGAGGCTGATGTTGATACGTAATGGACCGAAACAAATAATATTTGCTAGCGGTGGATCTGGGCTGTAATCAATGGTATCAGAGCTAGCCATCGAGTAGTGTCTTAGCAAGGACACAGGCCCCCAAGGGGGTGGAATGTGAGATCGCACATCGGTTGGAGAGGGGAACAAAACATTCCTTATAAAGGTGTGGAAACCTCTTCCTAGTAAACGCATTTTAAAATTGTGAGGCTGACAGCAATACGTAGAGCCGAAGCGAACAATATCTACTAGCAATAGACTTGGGCTGTTACAATCCGCCTCAGCTCCTACCCAAGCACCTTTTTTTTTTTTTTTAATCACCTTCAAGACCAACCATTCATTTTCAACCTTGAACCCTACATACGCACATACACATACAACTCATGTGGAGAATACATAGAAATTGACTGTTTCTTGACTATAAACAATACGTTATAGTGCTCAAAGATGGAAATATCTGAACTTAGAAAATTGGATTATCTGCCCAAAAACAAACCAAAGCTAACATATCTTGTTAATCAATGAAGATGGATGAAGAATTCTACTCGTGCTTTCTCTACATTCAGAAACAATTCAATATAGAAAGGCACATATTCCCGCAATCTATTAGGTTCTAAATTGACAGACATGAACCAGCTTCCTCTGCCTAAAAAGGTATGCCGTGGGAATTCCATCATGTTTTTGACACAGAATCAGATTTCAAATTTTCAAGAGTTTGTGACATTAGAAACTAGAAACAAACAAACAAGATTTTGGCTGCGCTCTCACCAATAAGTGAGAAACTGGGAGGAAGATTCTTATAAATAGATACCTGAGGATCAAATTTCCTCGACCTTCATACAATTTTCAACTCCAATGCGACAATCAAAGACCTAGACCAATATTCAATGCTTCTAACAGAGGAAACTCAAACTATAGCTCTATTTACGTTGCTCTGATTGAACGAGAAATTTCTTTTATTCCAAATCAGGATTTCGCTTGGTCAAAACCCTCGATTAATTGTACAAAAGAAAGAAAAGAAGTATCCATTCGATTTCCAGATGAAATTATTCCTCTGCTAAAATTGAGACGGCATGAAGTACAGATTATGAAGTTGAATACGTAAAATGAATTCGCTAAAACATACCTGTGAAAACTATTGGTTCATTGACGATCATCAGTTGCTCAAACTCTTCTCCTCGTCATCGACTTCTTCAAAGACAACGATTTTACATAAATTCCAAGCGTTTTTCTTTTCTCGAAATAATGTATAATCCGTATTTCATAGCGGCTTATCTTTCAATTTTATAAATTGAAAAAAAAAATCAAAATTAAAATCATATTCATATAATGGGAAAAAAATAAATACAATTTTTGACTCAAAGCCTTCCAATTTTTTTATTTTATCAAAGAAAATTACAAGTTAAAATAAATACTACAATTTTAACACAAAAAAAACGTACATAAAATTTTTCATATATTCATTAATTTCAATAAAAATATCAGAGGATTAACAATAAAAAAGTTTTTTTTTTTAACAATATTTGATGGGAGAACCTAAAAGATTTAAATTGCAATCCTTTGATTACAACATTTATCTATTTGGAAGATGCAATTTATTGAAATTGAAAATTTAAAATAAAAACTAATATAATTAGGTAAGTTTATGGGTAAAATTTGATCTCTCCACACTATTTTAAATAAACTTCCAACCTCATGAGAATGAATTGATTTCTTCATTCTAAGTAATTAATATTTTAAATGATGAAGAATTAAAAAGTAAAAAAAAAAAAAAAAAAAAAAAAAAAAAAAAAAAGGATTATGAATATGGGTTTAAGTTATGATTAACTTACAAGGGTGTTGTTATTACTACTAACCATTCGTTTTAGAAGGTACCAACTCTTAATCCGATATGAATCAAAGTTTTTTAATTGTCTTAATTGAGTACCATATGAAAAGAATGGCTTATAATTTCTATTAAATGCAACGATAAAATATTAACAAAAAAAAAATAGATTTATAAAAATTTAAAGAACAAAATAAAACATTTCAATATAAAGTAGATATATATAGATATATATATATATATATATATATATATATATATAGGCAAAAAAAATAAAAAAAAAAATAAATAGAGTCATGTATGAATCCTAAGCCCTTTCATCCACAAGGTTCCTTTTCTCTCAATAAATTAACAAACTATCATCCAATTAAACTAAACATAGAATGAAAGAAAGCTTAGTAGTTTTTAGTTTAGAAAATTAAGGATGGGATGGGTTCTAAATAGTTTGAACAAATATGGCCTCCAATCTTTGCAAACTTCATACACTATGGGTTTGATTAACATAAAATTTGTAAGAAGTTTTTGCTTCACAAGAAACCCAGAAAGTTTGTGCAAAAAGTAAAAAGTTAACATTATTTTAGAAATTCTGTTTTCCATCAACCACCACCAAACAAATTCTCTGTCGTGTATAGTAAATTTGTGAGTCTAGACAGGAATTGCACAATAATAAATAAAGGGAGGGTTCAATTTTAGGAACTAGAAAGGGATGAACAACTGTCACGAAGGCATTGGGTATGGTTAATAATAAGAAAGAGGCCAAGGCTCTGAGTTTTGTGACACTGACTATAGCATCTTGGGTTCTGAACTATCATCGAATCTCCACTCCAAGAACGAGACCAGTGATTTAAATTTCCTAAAACCCTTCTCTCCCCAGATTTCTATTTCATTTCTGAGTGCAATTTCACTCGTTTTAAGCTCAGGGATTGCTATGATGGTGAATGTAGCAGATTGCTGGAGTTTTCTGCACTGAGAGGCAAAGAAAATGATGGCTACTTGCAAAGAAAACAGACAATGAAATGGATTTGGTTGCTTGCAGAGGAAAGAAAATGGAAGTTGGTAAGGGTTTGAAAACTTTGGATTGCTTAAGGGGAAGATTGCTTGCAGAAAGAGAAGCTTCAAGATCAGCCAAAGAAGAGGCACAGCTTATGGAGGAAAAGGTAATGTTCTTCATCATAGTTCACATTCTGCATTTCTTTTTCCAATGTGTGATTTACACGAGGTTTTTTCTGGTGTTCTGAAGTTGATAGAGTTGGAGAATCAGAATCGAAAGGAGACAGAGCTAAGGAACAAAGCTGAGAAGAGGCTTAAACTCTTGATAAAGAAGCTTGAATCTCTCAACATTGCCTCCTCAACATCATTAGTAGCCTCAGAAATTTCAACTCTATCAGAAAGTTCGACAAATTCCTCAACCTTAAAGGAAACAGAAAACCAAGAATCAAGATCAAAGAAAGTGGATTCAACGATCTCGGAAAATCAATGCGAGAAAGTTCCAGAAATCGCCACATCCAAACAGCGCGATGAGAAAAAACCTAATCAGAATACTCCAGATCGAGCAAATTCAAGCCCTAACTCCGAATCTCCGAACAATTCCTGCACCGATCCCCACCGATCTTCTCAAATCCTCCAAAGAAAAGATCAAAGGTACTAAAATTCCCCCTCCCGCTCCCGCTCCCCCTCAAACTCGCAAAACTTCACCATTTCAGATGAATTAACCTAAGCCCTGCCCTAATTACGATTACAATTGTTTCAAGCTTTTCAGGATAAGTAAAAGAGAAAGAGAACGAGCATTACATTGATAATTTGATGGCATCTGTTCCCGGAGCGTCGCCGGCGGCGAGCTCAAAGACCGGAACGATGAAGATGAAAGCAATCCATGAGAGGGCAACAGAAGTTCATGATGCTCCGAAGCACATCAGAGGAAATGTCCAGAACTCATTTAAATTATAGAAAATAGGTGCAAACGCAGTGTCTCTCTATATGGAAAAAGACCGAAACCCAAAAATATTTGTCAAAAACAAAGGTTTGAGAGCTTTTTGGCTAACAAAATCTTTTTCAACAAAGAATTCACAAAGTTCTTTAGGAACAAATTAGACAAAAAAAACAGCCATCTATTTATTTTATTATATTTAATTTTTAAAATATGACATTTATAATTAATTTTTCAATTGAATTATCGTACTAATTATTTATAAATTTATTTAAATCATTTGAGAATAATGGCTAAATATACTCTAAACTCTAAAATTTAAGTCATTATTTATAAATGAAGAAAAATTAAATCAAATGAAGTTTATATAAATTTTGTAATATACTTATCTCATTTAACATTATTCACTCTACCAAATAAAATAATTAAAAATTTATATAATTTTATTAAACTTAGTACACACGGATAGCAAAATTTTGTTGTCAAATGTTGTGCTAGATACCACTTGTCACAATCGCATTTTTGATGACAGCGAACTTGCAAATGTGCGACACTCACTTTCCAACAAGTGAGCTAAGTCAATTCATTCTAACGTCACTTACGACCAAGCGATGTATGCTTGAGCTTTTGGCCTCGATTTAAGAAGATTTTAGAAGATAAGAGCAAAGAGAGATTTTCAAAAAAGAGATTTTGAAAGAGATATTATATATGCAAGCAAGAGAATAACAACGACTCTAAGTATATAACTAGTAGTAGACGATTTACCTTAAATCAAATGGTGGGTCAATGGTGGGTCACGTTTCGCTGCTAAGTCACTTGAGGGCATGGGAAATGATTTAGCTGAAGTTGTGGTCTACAACCACCATTGAAGTATTACATCATTTATAACAATTTAAAATTTAGAAAAAAAACCGAAGAAATCACATGAAAGCAGAGAACATAAATTATTCTATTTTATTAATATATATATATATAAAAAAAAGAATATGGTAAAGGGATTAATATTTTTATAAGCAGTGTTACTTATAACAATATGAATATTTTAAAACTATAGAGTTAGTCCCGACACATTAAGATGCTTTCTATTTTGATCCTTCAACTTTGATCGAACTTCAAACTACAGAATATATGATTCAATATATTAAGATTACCAAGATAATGTGTTTGCTATGATAGCAGATGGGTACCTGTCTTTTAAATATGACAACAATCAAATTTCAGAACTTCTGAAAAGCTAGGATCACAGTAAAATGTACAATGACATGAACCATGCTTCTCATCCGATCTTAACAACAACCAAAAATCAGAATCAACAAAACGAGCCAAGAAAACATTGATATGATATTGATCTATAAGGAAGATTTGTGTTTATTTTGTCATTGAACTCCCCAGATTGTGTAATAGTTCCTAAACTTTCATTTTTGTATCTACATGTTCAAATTTGTATATAATAAATCACTAACAAATTAAAATAGATCAAATCTTTAATTTTTATGTCTAATGGAACCCAAAAGCTTGAAAAAAATTCAAAAGCTTGAGAACTAAATGCATAATTTTGAAAATTAATGGACCAAACGATAGAGAGAAGCTAAGAAACACAAACATACCAGGTTGATGTTCTCCTCCACAAAGCTTGAGCAGCATGCCCAAGAACATAACCATCTACAAGATGAGATTTCTAAACATGCAGTAAATAGGATTATCCATGGACAAAAATACAACTTGCACGGGCAAATCAAGCAAGGAGAAAAAAATATGTATCTATCTAAAAAGAACTTTTGATCAAAAGATTGATTCCCTCGATAAATGTTGCGGCCATTCCATACCATTACATCCAACCAAAAATCCAAAAGAAACTAAATACACGTAGCTGCTGACTAGCTATGCAAAATAAGATAAAAGGAAACGAAGAAAGAAACAACAGAGACTTGACAGAGACACCTATTTTTAGAGTACACAATCCATTCTCAGCTACAGGCCTCAATACATGCAGAGACTTCTAAGAGGGCCACAACAAATACCTCCATAGACTCGGTCCATCCTATATTACCAAGCAAGAATATCAGAAACTTCCAAGTTAGAAGAGGGAATTCAGCTTCTCCCACACGACAACTTACCAAGGGAATAGATAATTACTTCCCCTCCCAAGACTTATCTTCAGTTTATTCTCACACAAGTTCGAGATGTTATCTCATGATGACATTTTGAACGGCATTTCTAAATAAGATTCAACATACGACCATTCTAATTGAACTATTCTTCAGGTCATACTAAAACTAGGCATCTAAAAAGTGTAGAAGTAAATTCCATGATGAGTAATTATCACTGATGCTATGAGATGAGATGTGGTGGCATCACACAAAGAAACCAAAACTCAATCGTAAATGATTGGACATTAATCTTACATTATTACAGTCAGCAAAAAGAAAAACCTACCATTAAAAAGAAACAGCCTAAAATCCAAACTAAATTATAGCTATAAAACTAAAAACCTGATTATATTAACTCAAAGTAAAACAAGAAACTGTTAGCTTTCTAATCCCAAAGGCGAATTCAACAAAATTAGTAAATTTCAACCAGTGAGTATCAGATGGAAACAATGCACATGGAAACCTAGCACTGCCATTCAAATGGTATCATGAACATCCAACTTGCCATCACAAGGGAGATATAAACTGAAGATGATAACCAAAACATTGGAGGGATAAAAAATTCAGAGATTTCTGATATTCTTAACAAACTGTAAGATAGGCTTGACCTAGGGAGGTATTTTCTATTACTATAACACCTAACCAGAGAATTAATAACCTGACACAACTGAATCTAGGGAACCTCATCTCAGCGAAACATGGAGCAAAGCACCTTGCAGTATTGATTCTGCCCTCAGAATGGAAGACTTTGGAACTAGATAATAATATAAAGGAATGAACATGGGTATGGAAGCCATTACGGGGAATTATAACCAGGCTATTAGACCTGCCAAAGAAAGAAATAATTCATCAGATTAAATAGCAGAGATATAATAAGAAAGGGCATATCAAGAAACACTAGATTTGGATAAGATGTAACGTTCTGGAGGCCAAATGCCAATCAGACTTAGAAAGGAAACACAAACCAACAGAAGAAAATTACAAGCAAAAGCTACCTTGCCATCAAACAGGGAATGTTCTTTTCAGGCACCACCTCCAGCCTTGCCTGCAATATCTGCAATCTGATTACAGACAATGGAAATCATTAATGGGAACAAGAGCACTGAAAAAAAAGTACACTCTTCTGTTTCCTACATCCTACAAGAAAACAAAATAAGCATAAAAGGATAACATTACCGTCTCAATGTTTCCCTTCCCATCCACTTGTGTGAGGGAGTTTGATGTTGGATTAGAAAACCTTCACCCAGAAAATAAAAGGAAAAACAAACAATATGTTAGATGCATTCTAATATTTGCAGACTCCATATAAGATTTCCATGAACCACAGACGATGGAACTGGAAATATTAGCTACAACCAGGGGAACAGAAAAATACGCCCACTACCTGATTGCCCTCGCTTTCCTCTTTTCTTCCTCCTGGGAGTCTGGCTTTGATGTTGAAGAAAACCTACCAAGTCGAGCTTTCTTCTTTGCCTCATCATCAGTGGCCACAGATGCAGGAAGCCCAAATCTAAATAATAAAAAAATTGGCAAAAGGTTGAAAGAAAGTTTGAGTAAAAGACAATAAATACAATTTCTTTGACAGGATGACTACCAATCCATAAAGAAATGGAAACTACCTCTCAGCTCTAGCCTTTCTCTTCACCTCCTCTGACTTATTTGATGCTCCCAATCCATTAGTTGTGGTGCCCATACCAAACCTGCAATCGTCCCCAGAAATCAACATTAAAATATTTTACAGAAAAATAATAGAGAAACATAGCTCTGAACAGAACTTGGATAAAGAAAGGAAACGGTGAATATTTTAATTATAGAAACGAGAAGACAGAACACCGATATGAGCCCAACAAATGAATTAATTCCCACACAACGTCTCCATTTTTCAACTTATCTTCAAAGATTTTAGCAGCTCTTTCCAACCAAACTCGCCACAGAACATTATAGACAAGACCACGAGGCTTTCATAATTAAGAAAGTGCAAAGCACATCTGCTTTGTGCCATGAGATGCGCAATTAGGGAAGCCCCGAGACAGATTGAAAGGGCATAACAAATGGCTCCACATTTTACTTGAGAAGGGATAGAAGAAAGAAAAGCCTGCAACTTTCTTCTTTCTTTTTACACAGACGCAACACTGAATCGATGATATTTAACACACATCAATTAATAAGCCACTGTTGTAATCATTTTGGATTTCAAACTTACACCATTCCGATTGGAATTTCAAGCCATTACCAGAACATAAACAATTAGATTGGGCATTAAAACCGATACAATGGACTAATATAACAATACAGTGTTGTTATACTCCTGAAAATTATAATCTACAAGTTCCAAACGACCTCATAAGTGCATGAGCAAACCATCAGTCTAACCTGTGCCGGGAGATAATTGAACTTTTGAGTTCGTTAAAATCCCTACTGAGGCAGTCTATGATAAAGTAACGTAATATTTATACCAGTGAGGTATCCCTACATTTGTCTATAAAATGAGAGAAAAATAAATAGTTTCAAAGAAATCATAGCAAAATAACCACGAAGAAGGGCATGTTCTCACAAAATAAGTGGATTCAAATACGCAGCATCACAAGGACAAGCACAGGCGTGAAGCGGATACCGAAAACTGATAAATAGACTTACCGTTCTGCTCGAGAATTACGTTTTTCTTCTTCAGACAATTGCACCGAAATCCCAAAACGCTCAGCACGGCGCATTTTCCTCTGGACATCAGAAACAGGTTCGCCATCACCTTCAACCGACGTCTTATCGGAGCCCTTAGATTCATCCATTTCCTTGGAAGACCCGCCATCAGTTGACGACAGCGGAACAGAGACAGGAGGCTGGGCCGAGGAAGAAATCGTCGGGTCTAGGGTTTGACTAGGGTTTTCTCCGAGCGAATTCTTGCTATTACTAATGTCATTGATTCCAGCAGATGCTACCGTCGCCATTAGAGGAGCAGATTTGAGAACCGAAACCTAATCGGAGGCTGCTTGCGAACCACGAACGCTACAAGGGGAATTGCCGCGTGAAGGAGGGAGCACAGGTTTCTATTCGTTTTTTCAGTCTGGTCAGATATTTCACATCGTGGATGAGAAGGGCAGGGTCAATAATGTAAATTCGTGTCAAAATATATCTCCGGTTCTTATGTACACGTGCTTAGTTTTCATTGGGTCTACTCTATTTACCAATTCATTATTTATTACGTAAAAAAGGTCAAAAAAAATAAATAAATATATATATATATATATATTTTTCGTAAATAATTTTTATAACAAATTTTAAAGTTTAATGATTAAATTAAATACTTTTCGTTAAAATAAATTAACTTAAATAAAATAAAATTAAAGTAGCAAGTCTTTTGTTATATTTAATTACACCAGATATTATTTTGATTTTTTTGACAGATGTTTTCGAAATAATATTTTATTGACATGACTCCCTTAAAATAAGGGTATAGTTATAATACAACTTGATAGGAATTATAGATCTCTACAATTGAGCATAAATTCTCATAGTTTTATTTTTTAGTTTTTTCTAAAAGTCTCATATAAATTGAGATGATGTTCCTTATTTATATACGAATTATGTTTCTCTTAGTTACCCAATGTGGGACTCGAACACAGTAATTTTTCGACCAACAATCATACTTCTGAACCGCCACTCCGAGGTAACTTTCTCTTCCTGCAATAAACCTGCTTCTAGCTGCTCTACTTCTCTATATTCATCATTTCAGGTTGGTGTGTTCGTTAAGTATAAGTCTTATAATCATCCACTAAAGGAAATTTGGGTGGGTTTACTTTCTAGTCAGCCAAAGTCTACCTTTTTACAGACTAATTAAAGAGGGAGAGTACCAGGACGAACAGCGTCAAGGTCGTGCCCGTCTTAAATACAAAGTGGCAACTATGGAACTTCGGAACCTTGTGGGGTTAGGAGAAAAGCATCCCAAGGTCCTCCATATTTTCAATCTCCCACCAGTCTTCTTTTTGGCGTTGCTTTAGGATTTCTTTGGTGAACGCTTTCGTCGATTCGAAATTTCAAATATGCTATGACCTATATATATGCATTTTAAAATCGGAGGACTCAGAGCTCTCTCTTCATGCAGGATTCCATGTCTCAACTGAGGCATCTCTTGGATTTGTCGCAATAAGTATGAGCACTGAAGTCCTGTTGAGTCTACCGAAGAAAATACAGGATATTGGACTTTAATTGAAGCAAGTAATTCAGAGAGATGCACATGCACCGTAGAATTAAAGGGTCTGCAAAGGCTAAACCAAAATTGGTCACATCGAATCAAATAAAGTTGATTTTGATTTGAGTTTTGCCTTCTTCGTACCTAAATGGGCCCCAACCACTTATCAATAGTTTGGCCTGGTTTATCAGATTTTCTGATCTAAACAAAACAAAACTGAATCTATTTAAGTTAGCAGTGCCATAGGAGCTCAAGCTATCAAATACCAAATTGGAATTCAAAAAAGGAAAAAAGATTGCACAACGAACTGGTATGAAGTAAACAAATTAGATACACGCTAAAAGAACAGAGAAGAAACCAGAGTTGACATACAAAATAACTTGCGCAGTATTGACCTGTGTAGAGAGCAGAAATTATACGACGTTCAGCTGTTAACGTTCGTCAATTGCATACTTGCACAAGTAGGCTGGTTGTTCGTTCAACGTTTGCACTCGCTGTGCTAGTGCCAGAGTACACAAATGAAAGTTACCCTATGTTCAAAAAATCAAACCACTGCATGTAAGCCATCTATCAAAGAGCAGTACTGTGAGAGTTCATACTTGTACAGAAGGGAAAGAAATAAGACAGAAGGTGCAACTGTGAATGATACACACAATTGTGTCCAAACACAAACTAAAAAAGAGTTCTCTGATGCAGAAAGGCAGAAGCCTCCTTGAATTAGAAGTCCAGTAGCCACTGGCAACAGAGTCCAGTTCAGCTTTGTCGGTCTAATTTAGAATTGTTAAGTAAAAACATAATTTTCTGTCTAAAATGGTACACTCTAACTTATCTATTTTCCCACATGCACATGGATGCATCTGATTAAGAAAACCAGATCATCATTTTTTTTTCTTTTTTACCAAAACAATGCAATGGCTTTAGCCATCTCCTGCATTGCTTGTGTTTTCACTCGTGTTTTGTCGCACAAACTGTCCCCGGACACGAGGTCTCTGTTCTGCTAATCGCTTTCTGCTTTGGTATCGGACCTGTTAAAGAATATAGAGGAAACTAATAAGGCATAAATTTAGCAGAAAGACATAAGAACTCTAGTAAACAAGCCATCTTTTCTTTTCCCTAAAGATAAATCATAATTTAAACAGTAAGACACATAAGAAGAAAGGCGCAACAATAGGTGCAAGTAATTGAGTCGGCACAAAGTCTTGTGAGAAAGTCTCACATGGCTCTACAATGGAACCCAAGGAAATCCAACATAAAAAAATTTCTTTTCAAAGGAAATCCCTTTCCTGGACGTCTATCTAGCAAATATGAAATAAACCGGCCCCACAGGAAGGCACAGCTGATGCAATGTGCTTGAAGGAAGTCTTATCCCCCATCTAGCAAATATGCAATTAGTTTCTTCAACTTCGTTTGAAGTACAGAATATTTAATCACTTCTATCACATGTAAATATGATAAACCGAAATAAACTTCTGATGTGAAGTTGAAATGTAATGCATGTGCAGATAAGCATATATGGATTATATAGATTTATCCCTGTTCGTATACATGCAGTATTCGTTCATGGCTCCATTTCTATATCTGTGCTTCTCAATGACTCAGACTCTTGGTAAAGACATCATAGCAAGTAAGAGAGAATTCCTCTCCTCAAAGTACCTGTAGCTACGCCAAAAGCAGCCTCTCGGTGAAATATGATACAAGCTGGAGTTTAATGTTCAGCAGTGAAATATGATACCAACAGAAATTTGATGGGGGGAGGGATGGAGGAGCTTAGATTGGATATAGAAAGACCCCACAAATATGGATCACCATGCTTTACGTGTACAATTTCAGCACAACAAAAGGACAAGACGAGGGATCACAAAATAGACATAAGGCATTGGACTAAAAGAAGGATCAAATAACATTACCTTTTTACGGAAGCATCTTTCCTTCCTTTTCTGGCGAAACTTAGTCAGGGCAGCTTCCCTTTGTGAAACTTTGCTTAGGTCCACTTTGTTTCCGCTTCCACTGCCACTCCCACTTCCACTTCCACTGGCATCTCCACTTCGGCTTTTCTGACCTATTCCATTATCACTTTCCATATTCAGCCCTCCAGCATTTACTGCATTGCAGCTCCCATTTTGGCCATTGCTTCCATGGTTACTGCCCGAGGCGCTTCCGTTCACACTATAATTAGCCGCATTACCTTCTACATGGCCATTGAACACATTGGTTGACCCACAATGCGCGATAGCTGCAGATGTTTTCTTTAATGAATAATCATTATGGTCAGATGACACTCGTTGCATATTGTGGACAAACTGATGAGTGGGATCATATGGGTGACAAGGTTGCTGCATCTGAGATTCCCTGTGAACAAAATTAGACTGAGCTTGCATTGCTGTAGTTGTAACATTAATGACGTTATCAGCTTTCTGAGGAACGGATAGACTGTCATTCTTAACAGGTTGGAAAGCTGCCGATGGGTGTAAACAGTTGACAGTTGATGCCATTGCTGACTTGTTATTAATAACTATGGACTTGGAAAATGCATTATTGGTAGTGGACCCCATGTCGATATTATTGCTATCTCCATTTGAACATTGATTGGGAGGGTTACCACTTGAATGAGAACGAATATCTTGCATGTTCTCTTGATTTGTAACTTCTCTGCCATTGACAGGTGGAGAGCTACTTCCGGCATTCCCAGTTGGAGTCTTGTTAGAATTCGAGCCAGCATTGTACCTGTGATTATATGGATAGTGAACCATATTGGTCAGATAGGAATTGCCATATCATTTCGAAACAATATTAGGAAGGATGGACCATTTTCTCACATACCTAGAAAATGCTGAAGAATCTGAGCGTCTCAAAACATTCCGCTCATCTTGGACAGCTTTCCCTGTCGCTTGAACTCCTCTAAGCCTTTTTAATCCAAGCTCAAGGGATGGAAAATCTTCTGAATCTGTAACACTTTTATTCTTAATGTCTGTAGTCTTGGGATGGTTGCTCGGCACCTCAAACACAGTGACATCCATCTTAGAATCAGTAAGATTAGTAGCAAGACCAGTAACAGTTGTTTCCTCGCACTTAAGTTTGCTGCATGGGCTATCAGAGTTGAGGTCAAGATCTGCTTTGTTGAACTGCTCATTGAATCCACTGGACCCGATCTCAAGCACCATGTTCTGTTTTCTGTTAATTAGATTGGACGGATGTTCCGTCGAGAGTTCAAGTTGTAAATCTAAATCGCCGTGCACACCTAATTCAACTTTACCAAGGTAACAGTATCAAAAAATACAAAAATATATTAGACGTATGATTAACAGTTTGTATAGTTCTCAGACAGTCAGATATTCAAAGGCATACCAAGTTGCTTTTTCTGCCCCTGGCACCCTGCTGTCAAAACAATTGGCACATTATTAGCAAATGCATCAGCATTTGAGTGGACAACTTGAGCACAAGTACTATCAGGACGTTCACGTTTTTTATTCCATGCTGATGCAGATACTGGTCGAGGGCTTTCAACTTCTATAGCTTGCTTGGTCCAAGAACTCTGCAGAAAGAGAGTAGTACTAGTTACTGTTGGCTAGGGGATACTAAGATTTTTCGGAATTTGGAAAGATCTTGGGTGGGAATTCGATTGCTGGCTAGGTCTACGGCTTCGAGCATCCAAGAACTTTTGTAATTACCCATTAGCTCCATTTTAAGTAGCATGTTGTTTGACTCCTTCAGTTTGGACTGTTTTTTGTATGCCCTTTTAAAGATTTTTCTCTTCTTTCTTTTTTTTCTCAATGAAAAAAGAAAAAGTTGCTGTTGATTTGGAAAACCTTCAGAATTGAGGACAGCAACCATCTTGATAAGGAACAATTATCCAATCCTAACAATTCCAATATTGA